TCCAGTCTAGAATCAGCTGCTGCTACAAGCAGTGTCCTAGCTTAGTTTTCTGCTGGTGGAACAATACTACCTCTAGAGATGCTGGGCAAGAGGTTCTGGCTCCCTGAAGCTAATGTTGGGAAGGGGCACACTCGGTTAAGGTCTTCTTCCAGAGCTGGTGTTTTATGGAGCATCCTCCTTGAGCAATGGACGTAGTAGGTTCGGTCAAGCCTAAAAGCAGAAAAACCTTCAGAATCTGAAAGGGGTCTTACTTCAAATGTTAAAATGCAATGTTAAGTACCCTTCCAAATGGCTAAATAGCTTTCTGGGGGGAGCTGAGACAACTTTCTTAGTGAAACTCTTTTCAGTTCACCTTTAATGTAAACTTTAATTTTCATGTTGACATTCTTTGCTTCAGCAATACCTTGTCTTCCACCTCCTGGTATCACCCATGGATCCCATACTGGTCAGACTGTACAAGAGTTTTCCTTTGGCTCAGCGGTAACTTACAAATGTGACCAGGGCTTCTCTCTTATTGGAGAGGCCTCCATTCATTGTACAACAAAAGATAATGTCAATGGACAGTGGAGTGGACCTGCTCCTGAATGCAAAGGTTAGTAGCATCTGTTTTTTTCCTCTTCTTATTCTACCATCTCCTTCCAGGAAAAAGTATATTTTTGATTGTTAAGTAAACCCATAAACCTGAGGAAATTCAGCTAGTGCTTAGTCCCCCTAAATACGTATCATGATAACTAGTTACTGTTGGAAATTAAAGAATGACGGACAGTTCATAAATCACTCCTGGAAACCATTTTTGCCTCTAATATATCTTGTATTTTTTTTGTCTCCCTTCAGTGTTCCAAGACTGCATTTAATTCTCATGTCACAAAGAGTTTATTTTTAGGTGGAGAGAAACTCTTAAACTAAGGTTTTGCTTTTATGCCAGTACCCTACTACTCAGTGCTAAAGGGGATGGGGAGAGAGAGCCTGAGAAGCAGGATTGTTTGGGAACCATATTTTTCAGAACTCTCTGGGAGGGCTCCTTGACAGTGAAGGCTCAGGCTTCTGTGAGTTCATACCACAGCCATAAAGTTCTTAGGAGGGGGAAATAAAGGTCATTGTACAATCCTCATTTGGGGGACGGCAGTGCTCACGCACACTATTGCATTTAGCTAACAAAGCATTTATGTACAATGATATTCAAGCAGCTGCAACAACTTGCTTTTATTCTTGCTGAGTTACCCAGTCTAACAGCTGGGAAGGAGGCTTTTTCAGAGGCATTAGGCAGGTTGGTCACATGGCTACTTAATGTTAACTCCCCCAAAAGCAGCGAAGTTCAGTTCCAGAAAGTCATTGTATGTAGATCTCTTGTAGCTTGACCCAAATTCCTGATGGCTTCATAAAATGATGATGATTAACTCGTGCAGTTTACTAGGGAGGGCTGATACCCATACAGTTGGGTGTTGTGCTGTATGTAGACTAACATCTTTTTAAACGGAAAGATCCAAAGTTGTATAACTGCATTTTAAAATATATTTTACCTGCTGTAGTCAAGTATCAGGGCTTTTTCTTCTTTCCTCTACCCCCTTCTCCTCCTCTTCTCTCCCCCCCCCCCCTCCAAAAAAATGCTTCCTGTGCAAAACATTCTTATGCTGGTACTTTTAATTTTCAGTGGTCAAGTGTCCAGAGCCAGAAGTCAAAAATGGAAAAAAGCAATCTGGGTATGGACTCCATTATTCATATGGAAACACCGTAATATTTGAATGCGATTCTGGCTACACTCTGAAGGGTAGCAGTTCAGTTAAATGTGAAGCTAACAATTCATGGTTTCCATCTTTGCCAACCTGTCTACGTAAGTATAAGCAGTTGTGTTGAACATTTTATATGCTAATGTCTAGGAAGCTTATTACATCATTATAACATGGCTACTCAAAAGTAAAGTTTGAGTGTCTGTGTCCCCTTTTTGTCATAGGCATAACACACACAAATTTTATTAACACTAATGTTAAATGTTAAAAAAAATTATTTAATGCATAGTTTGGAAAAAGTCTGTATATACAATCACAGAACTGGAAGGGACCTCGAGAGGTCATCTAGTCTAATCCCCTGCACTCACGGCAGGATTAAGTATTATCTCGACCATCCCTGACAGGTGTTCGTCCAACCTGCTCTTAAAACCCCCCATGATGGAGATTTCACAACCTCCCTAGGCAATTTATTCCAGTGCTTAACCCTCTGATAGGAAGTTTTTCCTAATGTCCAACCTAAACCACCCTTGCTGCAATTTAAGCCCATTGCTTCTTGTCCTATCCTCAGAGGTTAAGAATAACAATTTTTCTCCCTCTACCTTGTAACAATCTTTTATGTACTTGAAAACTGTTATGTCCCCTCTGTCTTCTCCTCTCCAGACTAAACACACCCCATTTTATCAATCTTCCCTCATAGGTCCTGTTTTCTAGACCTTTAATCATTTTTGTCACTCTTCTCCGGACTTTCTCCAGTTTGTCCACATATTTCCTGCAATGTGGTGCCCAGAACTGGACACAATACTCCAGTTGCGGCCTAATCAGCACAGAGTAGAGCAGAAGAATTACTTCTCGTGTCTTGCTTACAATACTCCTGCTAATACGTCTGGGTATAGTGCTTAGATTATCCACAAATATAAAGTTAGTTTTTAAAAGTCATATGATACATCGAGCACATAATCAGCAATAACCCAAACTTAGGTGAGTAGATTTAACAATACAGTTTAGATATTAGTACTCGGGTACATCACTCATGAAAAGTTGTACAGAGATTTGGTTGTGAAAAGCGAAATATATCAATGAATGGCGGCTGTCCCTCAGTACTTGAGAATTAAGTTGGTTGTCCATTTAGAAAATACAGTCCATGAGGAAAGGATTTGTTACTTTCCTGACTGCGCTTCTCATGAGCACTTCAGCTCCTCTCTCCTGGTATTGCCGATGTCCGGTGATGTGTTCTATGTAGATGTCCCTCGACCACCTGATGGCATCCAACACCATGAGTTGCCACATCAGCCAAGTGCATTGACCGATTCTGCATTTTCTTAGCACTCGCTCATTACTGGGGTCCCATGTGCCCGTGGCTCCGACTATCCGTGCATGTGTCAGGACCTGGTAACCCTTAGCGCTCAAGGTTTCAGCCAGAGGGCCGTATTTCTCTACCTTTCGGACTCGAGCATTGTGGAAGGCCGGGGTCCTGTTCTTGAAGGGCACTGTGATGTCCACCATGCTGATCTTTCGGTCCTCGTTGGTGATGACGATGTCTGGTCGCAGTTCGCCATCCCCGGAACTGACAGCCGAGTTCAAGGCAACCTTCCCCAGGGGCGGTGGGATGGCCCTGGCCAGGCGATCTTGGATGGCGTTGTCACAGCTGCCAAACTCTTGAATGGGTCTTGCAGCTACACAGGACGTGGGGTAGCGTCTCATTGGCGAAGCCATGCTTCCTTCATCACTTGTCCCGGACAGCCCCATTCAGTGGGATGCAGTTGAGCTGGGCCCTGTGGATGAACTTCCAGTCGGCAAATCGGGTGAAGCTGCCCCCAGGGAGGAAGTGGTTGCTGGGGTCCCACTTGCACGTCCTCTCGAATGTCTTGCCCTGGTCTGGCTTCTGTTTCAGGTTTTCCATGTATTGGCAGCGGATGGCATCTTCAGGATCCTCTCCAGTATGGTTCTAGCTCTTGGAGTGATGATAGCATGATCTGTATTAATCACCTGTGGCACCAAGACTCCCAACTCCTGGCATTCCTCACACCATGTCCAGTGGCAGCTGATATGCTTCTCCAGTCATTGCATAGCACTGCGGGCATGAGTCCAGAGCGAAGCCAAAGTCAAAAGGAAGAGGCGGAACCTGCAAGAGACTCGGCTGAGGCAGCCAGAGGGGAAAGAGCCAGGGGTGACAGTCTTGTAGATGCCCAGGTTAAACAGCCTTGATAGGATCACCTGGGTCCAACAGGAAGAGGAGGATGGAGCGAAGTACAGGCCTGAGACTGGTCTGGGAAGGAGCAGTTAAAAAGCTTGGTTGGAGAAGTTGGGATGGAATGAAGGGGACAAACCAGGTTGGAGGGGGTGAAGGATGGTGTTGGAGTGAAGAAACACAAGGCAGGGGTGTGTTGGGAGAACTTACAAACGAAGGGAGGTAGGGGAACAGTTTGGAGGGATAGGTGGGATGAGAGGATGGCTTTTGAGAATGGGGCAGACCATGTACCAAGCAAGGTGTGGCACTCCAGGCATGTTGACTTGGCCGAAGATAATCATCTCAAAAACTGTACTAATTGTTTTTTGTAGGAGTAGATGGCTTCTGGTTCAAAGAGTTAGTTGTTGGCATGGCTGTAAGAGTAATATACCTAATGCATGTGGACACTTTTTTTTCACTGTGCAAACTCAACAGAAATCTTAAGGAAAACAAAATGGGCAAAATAGCTTGTCTGTGTTTTGTAGGTCAGTAGTGTGCTAGGAGGTAGTGCTCGATCCTTTGATGGGAGAGAAAAGGAGCAATCTTGGGACTGGGTCTTTTTAGCATGTTTTGTTGCAAACTAACATTGTAAAATCACTCTAGTTGTCTTGTCGCCTTTGAGGTCTTTCCATGCGTGGCGTGGCTTTGTTCAGCACATTCAGAGAAGTGGGTTGCTCCTGTATCCTCTTGTAAGTCTCCTTTTTATGCAGAACCTACTTTGAACGCAACCCCAAGTGGCCCTAAAGAGCCCAGGTAAACCTGATGACTATAAAGGGAGCGAAAAACCACTGTGATCAGATACCTAGAATCCTCATGGTGGATAGCAGAGACTTTGGTTGACACATTGAACTGGAGCATTCAATTATTGCACTTCAATTTGCACTTAATATGTAGTGCTTCATAAAGTACGGTAGTGGTCACCTGAATGCCCCATATGCTCAGGTGTGAATTATAAGCCTGAGGCTGGAATTACTTTCTGTACCTCTGTAGTAGTCTTGTCTCCCACCCAGAACTATCTCTTCCTTTGCTACTTTTTTTCCCCCACTGGTCTGTGTATAGTAATACCCACCTGCTGATGCCCGCTCACTCAGTATATCTGTATAAAATGCCAGCTGTAGGAAACCATCAATCCAAATTCTGCACAGTAATGGCACAAGCAACTACAGGCTTAACTGGTAGTCAAGTGTCAAACTACACTCCGATGAGATGTCTACTCAGTTCACTTTTTTTTCTGTAAGTAATGGTTAGGCTTGAGTTCACTGATCCTCTGGTAATGACAGCAGGAGTATCAAAATAAAAATACCACTTTTCTCTTGTTTCTGCTTCTCTACTCCCAAATAAGTACAGGTTGGCAGATAACTTGATGTCACTAATCCTGTGGTTACATGTTTTATGGTAGCTGATCCAAACACTTGTCAAAGTTAGAATCAGGACTCACAATTTTGTCAAGACCACTCTGTTTATTAGCACAGCGCTCTGCTAATACATTCAGATAATGTGAGCCTCCATGCAAGATTCAAACAGTCTTATTTATACAGATAAAAGGGTGCGAACTAAACAAAGAGACAGAGATCAAAATTGTAAAATTTGCATGGGGCACAATATGCATATCCTGCTTCCTTATTAACTCTTATCAATCCGAGGCTAATGCTTCACCAATGGCCCTTAAGTGGGGCAATTCATTAAGCAGTTAATGTCTGCTTTCCTGCCCCCTAGCTTGCAGCATTTCTCATTTCTACTTAAAGGTACATACAGCATTCTTTAATTCATTCTATTTCTTTAATATAATTCATTTCACTTTCACACACTCCACCTCTAGTGACGTTTGCTGTAGGTAAAAATGTGGCTGACCAGTGCAGAATTTGTGTGCAGTGTTTTGTTGTAGCCATGTCGGTCCCAGGATATTAGAAAGTCAAAGTGAGTAAGGCAATATCTTTTATTGGACCAACTTCTGTTGGTGAGACACAAGCTTTCAAGCTTTCCCAGAGCTGTTCATCAGGTCAGTGCAGAATTTGGCAGATGAGATCCTGACAGTGTCTGGAGGGGAGGGCCCTCTGGTCTCAGAAAGGTGCGCAAGAATTCTGCAAATGAGAGCATTCATTCAAAATAGAGAAAATCTTTATAGAGGACTTGCCCGATCAATTCTCAGGACTGTCATCATGCCTCTATTACAATGTACAAGTAATAGAATACCTGGAAAAGCTGCCTTTCTTCTTTCAATATTGAAAGATCTAGGGATCAGATCATGGTTTCCTATATACTTTATAAATTCTGTAATTTGCATGATGGTATTAATTTGAGTCCATTTATTTAATTTAGCGTGTGGCTTAAGATACTAAATGTTGCACCAATATGAATGAATGGATTCCTATAGTTAGCTGGCATTCATATAACTTCACACTTCAGCTCACATTGCGTTTTTTCTTTCTAGGGCAGAACACTGGTACCACGATTGCTATTGGTAAGTAATATAAACTTTAAAAATAATTCAATGCACAGACTGTACATAGTAAGATGCAGTAATAGCGTAAGATATTTAATGTTCCACTTTCTCAATCTCATACCATTTTTTCCCCACTGCTTCACTATGTGAGGAATCTACTCCAAGCAGGTAGTTTGTCTCTTCTTGTATTATGTTCTGTCCAGTGGTGCTATATAAAAGCTCATGAGGCAGATGCTTGACTTAAAGAATCAAAGAAATATAGAGCTGGAAGGGACCTCGAGAGGTCATTTTTAAGTCCAGCCCTTGTGCTGTGGCAGGACCAAGTACACCTAGACCATCCCTGAAAGATGTGTCCAATCTCTTCTTAAAATACTCCCGTGATGGGGATTCCACTGTCTCCTTTGGAAGCTTAATCAGTGCTTAACTTCCATTACAGTTTTTCCTAATATGTAATCTAAATCACCCTTGCTGCAGATTAAGCCCATTACTTCTTGTCCTGCCTTCCAGTGGACATTGGGAACAATTGATCATTGTCCTCTTTATTCAAATATGTTAATGGCTGTTATACTCTGACCTGCTTCTCCCTCAGTTTTCTCCAGATTCAATCTACCAAAATAGATCCTGATGTCTCACTAATTCTTCAGAGTCGTTCACCTTTTCTTTCCTATCGTAGTTCAAGTGCTGCCGGCACTTATATATTCTGAGGTTTTACCTGATTTTTATTTAGTTTAGCAGCCTGCGTCTTTTCTTACTTGCATGCCAGGAGAAAGCAAAGGCATGGCTCTCCACAACTGCAGCTCTGAAGCAGTGACACTTCCCAACTATACATAGAGGCTTTTCTAGAATCGCATCTCAAATTTTTACCAGCAGCCAAGTGCAGAACCTTCTAAGTGATTGAAATGGACTATTTTCTCTAACTCTCCCATGCTTCGTGTAATGCTACTTTGCCATTCCAGGAAAATTTATTCTGCATTAAGAAAAACAACGTGAAGTGTGCTGCTGAATACCGCATTTGTTGTATTTGCTTTTGCTGGAAGACATCTTGTGTTGTGCAGAGATCGGTATTGGATGCTGAAAGTTTAGGATAGAACTGGTTTGCATTTTTTTTGTTTTATATCTTTACAGCTGAATGTGTCTTGCTAAGCGTAGTAACCCCACCTTACATAAAGCAAAACTAACACATGCTTAATTGCCTGAACCATTCCCTGCCCCCCCCCCAAAAAAAACCCAGCCCTACGGCTGTGGAAACTCAAGCCCCAATCCTGTCAGCACTTCCACACCCTTATCTCACAGAGGTTCTGTGACAACTGTGTAGCCAAGTGATTCAGAAACAGAATTAATGTTTGTCTTCAGAGCAGGGTTTGAAGAGTGAAGTAAATAAGTCCTGGGGACACAGCTGTACAATAAGGAGAAAACACAACATAAGAATGGCCATACTGGGTCAGACCAATGGTCCATCTAGTCTAATATTCTGTCTTTTTACAGTGGCCACTGTTGGTTGATTCAGAGGGAATGAACAGAACAGGGCAATTCTCAAGAGATTGATTCCCTGTTGCCCAGTCTCAGGTGCTGGCAGGTGTGCTGACACCCAGAGCATGGGCTTGCATCCCTAAGCATCTTGGCTAATAGCCATTGATGGAACTATCCTCCATGAACATAACTACCATAATTCTTTTGTGATCCCAGTTAAACTTTTGGCCTGTCAACAAGTTCCACAGGTTGACTCTGTGTTGGTGCTAAACCTACTGCCTCTTAATTTCATAGGGTGACCCCTGATTCTTGTGTTATGGGAGGGGAGGTAAATAACACTTTGTTCATACTGTTCGTGATTTTTGGAGACCTCCGTCATATCCCCTGTTAGTCTTCTCTTTTCTAAGCGTATTTCTAAACAAAATATAAGCTGCTCCTTAAGTGAGTAATATCTGTCCTATGCACTGAGTGAGGCAAGGGTCCTGTGGGGAGAAAACAGCGGGTGATCATATAACTAAAGACTGATCACCATGCGTATGGACATGGGGGCTTTACTCATGTTGTACAGGCAACCTTAATTCTTGCCTTTTGTAACGGAGTGCTTGACTTTGCAGCCTTATTAATGTTCCTTTAACATAGGATGTTTAACGTAGAACTTTTGTGTGTAATACTATGAAGAGTTGCCCTTAAATATCCATTTAACCCTCAGCCCATCTCCTCAGCAGCCTGGGGGGGAGGGGGGAGGGGAAAACATGGCAGAGATTTACTGCATATAGTTCCTTTTGCACAACTTAGTAAGTTCAGCAGTTAGATTAAATTTTCAGAATATTACTTTAAAATCAGTACAGATAGAAAAATGAATAAATGATCCAAAATTCTGCACAGGCAGCCCAAAAGCACTGTACAAAAAGGTTCTACACTACCTCATTTTCCTCTGTCCCCAGCTATAATGTAGGGAATTGATGTACTTTGCTCGCACTCCTTTTCATACTATATACCTTAATCTTATTTCTAAGATAATAGAAATCAATTTCTGTCCTGTCAACATAGCAGTCTTTTAAAAGTGGAACACTAGAGCTTTTTCAGCTTCTACAAATCACTCCCTTTGTACAACCAAGGACAATTAAAGCTCCATTTTTACACTGTAGATCCATGTAAAAAGGAAAAATCAGGGCACATTCAGCTTGGCCAGTGGGAGGGAAGGAGCGGTGTCTGGTGGTTTGAGACTTAGTGTCTGTCTACATTGGAGCTGGAGGTGTAACTTTGAGCTCAGGTGTAGACATACCTGCATTAGCTCGGATTGAGCCTGCATGCTAAAAACAGAAGTGTAGCTGCAGTGGTGCTGTACTTGGAAGGCTGTCTTGCCACTCGTGCCGCCACAGCTACACTTCTGTTTTTAGCACGCTAGCACTGGGCTATGTCTACCTGAGTTGCAAACTACATCTCCAGCTCCGGTATGGACATAGCCTTAGGCCTGGTCTACACTAACCCCCCAATTCGAACTAAGGTACGCAACTTCAGCTACGTGAATAACGTAGCTGAAGTCAACGTACCTTAGCTCAAACTTACCGCGGTCCAGACGCGGCAGGCAGGGTCCCCCGGCGACTCCGCGTACTCCTCTCGCCGAGCAGGATTACTGGAGTCGACGGCGAGCACTTCCGGGTTCAATTTATCGCGTCCAGACAAGACGCGATAAATCGAACCCAGAAGTTCGATTGCCTGCCGCCGAACCATCGCGTAAGTATAGACCTACCCTTAGGGTACGTCTATACCCAGCCGCTAGTTCGGCGGCTGGCAATCGAACTTCTGGGTTCGACTTATTGCGTCTTGTCTGGACGCGATAAGTCGAACTCGGAAGTGCTCGCCGTCGACTGCGGTACTCCAGCTCGGCGAGAGGAGTACGCGAAGTCGACGGGGGAGCCTGCCTGCCGCGTGTGGACCGAGGTAAGTTCAAACTAAGGTACTTCGAACTTCAGCTACGTTATTCACGTAGCTGAAGTTGCGTACCTTAGTTCGATTTGGGGGGTTAGTGTAGACCAAGCCTTAGTGTATCTGTCCTAATCCCCCAATCCAAAGTGTCTTCTCGATTTTGATTTTCTTCTCCCATTAACAAAATAGGAATACTTGAGCTATCCACAAACTAGGTGTGTGACTCAGAGCTTTTTCCCCTGGACCTCCCGAGATTCAGGCCCAGAAAGTCTTCAGAATCGTCTGTAACATTTTCAAGCTTGTAAAAAGTGAATATGGCTCACTTAAAAACATAATCCTGTTGATCTGCTGTTCAAGATTTGCTTGCTACAGCGTTCACAGTGGAGATTTTGTCTTGCTGCTAATTAACACTGTGTAAAAGCTTTTTAAAATGAAAAACTGCCATTTAAATTAAAGTTCCCTTGTGTTCCATTGATTCTGAAGTGTCTTTCATTTGCACCCAAGATCTAGTTTCAATCTAAATTTCTTTGTGTTTAGCCCTGACTTTGCTAGAGACACCTTGATGCTGTGAAACCTGCTTTTTATTGTATTCCCATTCTTAGAAATGACAGTATTGCTTGTTACCTCTGTAGGCAGAGCCTCAAATCTTCCCATCCACGTAATAAACATTCTTAGCTTACAGGACATTTCAACAAAGCACCTGCCTAATATCTTTTGTAGGGTAAATGAGAGTTATTTTGTCCTTCATATGTAAGCAAAGGCCAGTGATCATAAGCCTTTAACAACACCTGGTGTCCCATGTCATGTCTTAAGCTAATGAAATGCGCAGCATCCTACAACTGTTAATTTGTAGCTGTCTCCAGCTACACAGGTAACTGACTTTAGAGATCCTTTCTGCTTTGTATCACTTTCAGCTTTCCTTTTATTTTCGATATCCTTTAATGCTTTTTTAGAAGAGGTACATTGACCAGTTGCACTCAAGCACAATATAATTCAAGTCGTGAGCTATTAGACATTATCCCTTTGAAGCAACACTTATGCTGCTTGTGACGTGTTGCATTTTTGTCATGATCGTCAAGCCTGGTGCTTGTTGAAGGTCATATTGTATTCAGAAGCCCAATTAGTAAAATTTTTGAATAATATTTAGTGTTGGAGGTTCACAAGAAAAGATACTTGCATTTAAAATGGGCTTTTACTGCCAGAATAAAACAAATCCAATATTAAGATGACTTGCAAGTAACATGTTGCTATGTAGTCTTTCTCAGACTATGAAAAATACTGACTTGCTAGGATTTAAATGAGGTAACTCGTTGTCCTCCTATACATTTTAACCAGAACTATCTATTAAATAGAGGGCGCACATTAGAGCAAAAAATCATGTATTGTTTTTGTGTTGGAAAACTGTCTCTGCGATTAAGTTATCTGAAAATTTAAAGCCATAGGTTTTTCCAATGATTTAACTTCAGTTTTTAGGAAACACTTTTAAAAGCTTTATACTTGTCTTTAATTAAATTGCATATTGACCAATCTCTTGTCAAACTATTAATAGCTCTTTTGACTGTTTTCTAGAAGAGCAATATGCTCAAATAAATCTGAGACTTCGTTCAATAAAGGGGTACTAGCGCACACACTAATTATAAATTAATCCTATACACCCAATCATGTGAACCTGAAGCTTGACACCTCTGTTTGCTGCAGTCCCCTGGGGATGTTTGGCAGAAATATGAATATAAATATTGATAGGAAGCTTAAGGGAAAACTGTCCTCCTTTAAAAGGGGCACCGCTGGATAGATTGCATATATATTTTACCTTGTATGGGATTTCTTTCACAATTAAGTTTTAATAGAAAATTGTACGTACAATTTTAGAAAAATTTTGAATTTAAACATTCTCTTAGAGTTTGCAACACTGCTATGCTTCATTGTGCTAGTGCTTGGAAAGTTTAAAAAAAAAATCCCTATGTACATTGAAAGAAATGCAGACGTAAATAGCATTAACTAGTTAAAAAAAAAATCTTTCACTTTGTTAATCATCTAATGATATGGAAATAACAAGGATTTTTTTTTTAAACCAGTTAACCTGATGACTATAGAAGTGTGTGAGAGAGAGAGGATCTGTTGAATCATCCTGGCCCTGCAAAGGCAGGATTTTTCTCTACAGTACTTTTTCTACTATTTTAGTCCATGCTAGTTTTAAAAGTTTCAGGTAATAGGGCTTACACTACTTCCCCCTGCCCCTCCCACCCCCCCCCACTCCAAAAAAAAATCCATTGCCATCAAAACATTTCCTAATATTCAGTATCAGTTTTCTTGGGAGTTCTAATGATATAAAAAGCCTCCTTTTAAGGAAGCAAAAGCAACTTTGATTTTTACTCTTGAATTCTGGAGTCATACTTTATTGAATTAGTTTCTCTCCTTTCCTGCTGTTCAGCCCATATGATGCAAATCAGCACTTCAGTGATCTACAGGAACGTGGGGGAAAAACCTAACTTGGATCTTGAAAGGGGTTTTACAGAAAATATTTACTTCAATGTGAAAAGATGGTGAGGTTCTGATGAACCATTATCTGCAAGAACATAATACAACTATGCAGCATATCAAATTGAGACTATAAATTACTTTCTTAGGTTACCTTTCTTCTTTGGCCTGAACAGATATGTTGAATGCGACACGTGAATATCTACTAAATTCTCCATTTCTATGTAACCATTTTGTCAACTACAGCAGTTACGAATGCATTGTGTGCCTTATCTTGTGATGTTACTTATCATAACAGCTCTGTCTTAATATATAAACGTTACTTCAGTATATTACCATTTTGATAATATAAGAACAAATATTTTCTCCAGAAGAATATTAATGATACAAAGCCCATCTTGGATTTTCATTTCTGGTGTAAGGCTGTGATTATATCCTTAATATGAGACTTCGTTCGGTAGAGGAGGAGTAATATAAAGTCTATATGCTACAAGTTTTAGTTAATATAATTGTATATGTGGAGCTTATATACAGCAGGCCGGAAATGCTAAACAAATCTCTGCTGAAGAGCTCAGCAGGTGTTGGTGTTTCATTGTGGATTCACTGTGAAACCCTAGGCCCTGACAGTGCTACAAAGGTTCTGTTGACTCTTTTTAACAGTACTCTACATAGTATTCTTGAGGTGTACAGTTGAATAAGATTCTTCTATAATGTGATTAGTCAGTGGAAGAAACTAATATGTCCTAAAACAGCGTTATGTTATAGATGACCCCCTCGCCTTTCCAGTGCTCAAACAGTTGAGCGTTGCGGGGAGGGAGCATAGATAGTCCAGTTCTCCTGTATTTAGGATATGTAATACCTAACTTATCACTGTTTGCTAACTTTGATTACAGATTAAACCTCATGAATTTTTTTCTGCCTCTTTTCTGTTTTGGACATGGCCTCTGAGAAGAAACAGCATGAACTCTGCTTTAATTGGAAATTAGTTTATAATTGTGTTAATGTAACTCTCTAAAATTAACAAAACAAATCTTTCAGACAGAACATAAAATGAAAAATCTCGTTATCCTAAACATCT